AATTATTAATAAATTACCAATTTAGTATAATAACTACTCCCATATATGTATACACACACACACTACTACTACTACTACTACTACTACTATATTAGGAAGAAATTACTCTATAATTTGAATTGGTAGTTTTTTATTTTTTTTATTTTTATTTTTTATTGTAAAATAATTTTAAAATTCCAATTTGAATGAGTAGAATATTTTTTGTATTTTCGTTTTTTATAGATAATTATAAGATATTTATATTTATTAATTCAAGTAGTGTAACCAATTAATTTCAAATTTAAAACTCAAAAATAAATTAGTTAGAAAAGTAATTTATTTTGTCTTAACAATGCCATTTGACTTTTTGTGGTTAAGACACTTGTCTTAATGTAGTGCTTTTGCTTCTCCTATTCTATATAGATAGAAGAATATAGAAAGAAGATTATAAGATATCTATATTTATTAATTCAAAAAGTGTAACCAAGTAATTCAAAATTTAAAATTCAAAAATAAATTAGTTAGAAAAGTAGTTTATTTTGTCTTAACAATGCCACTTGGCTTTTTGTGGTTAAGACACTTATCTTAATATAGTGCTTTTGCTTCTCCAATTCTATATAGATAGAATATAGATAGATAGATAGATTACTTAATATTGTTAAATTGACATATGAATTGATAGTTGTTTTTTTAAAAAACTTTTTATTGTAAAATAATTTTAAAACTCCAAATTGAAACTACTCCCCAGTTTGAATGAGTAGAATAATTTTTTTGTATTTTTATTTTTTTATAGATAATTATAAGATGTCTATATTTATTAATTCAAGTACACAACCAATTAATTTAAAATTTAAAATTCAAAAAATAATTAGTTAGAAAAGTAGTTTAATTTGTCTTAACAATGCCACTTTGCTTTTTGTGGTTAAGACACTTATCTTAATGTAGTGCTTTTGCTTTTCCTATTCTATATAGATATAGATAGAAGATTATAAGGTATCTACGTTTATTAATTCAAATGGTGTAACCAATTAGTTCAGAATTTAAAATTCAAAAATAAATTATTAGAAAAGTAATTTATTTTGTCTAAACAATGCCACTTGGCTTTTTGTGGTTAAAGTAGTGCTTTTGCTTCTCCTATTCTATATAGATATAGATAGAAGATTTTCATAAGATATCTATATTTATTAATTCTAGTAGTGTAACCAATTAATTCAAAATTTAAAATTTAAAAAAAATAGTTGGAAAAGTTTATTTTATGTTAATAATGCCACTTTGCCTTTTGTGGTTAAAACACTTGTCTTAATATAGTGCTTTTGCTTCTCCTATTCTATAGAGATAGAAGATTGTTTATTTAATTGAGTACTACTTTATTTGTCCATTGACAAATAGGTAAACTATAACGTGTAATTGTGATATAAAACAAAGAAGTAAATAGTAATCCGATCGTCTTAGGTATCAAATTTTACTTCGACAAGGACTAGATTCTACTTGAGTTCTTTGACAAAGTTATATTATACTATAAATATAAATCAACGCAACTATTAACCCTAATTTCTTTTTTCTTCTTGGGCCTTCATCTAATAAGGTGAGTGTATATATATATTTTTTATATGAGAATGGGAACTCACAATATTCAAGAGGAAATAATTATGGACATTATAAGTAGGCTACCTGTGAAATCTCTTCTACGTTTCAAGTGCGTTTCTGAATTTTGGAATACATTAATATCTGAACCTTTGAGAAAAAACATCTCAAATTTCATGCCAATAACCAAAATTCTCAAAAACTGCTTTTTGGCCAAGGAATCAATAGAAATTTTTACTTCCTTTCTTCTTCTTTATCCCCAGTTCATATTGTTAAGGATATACAGAGACTTGATTCACCTACACAATTGGCAATTTTTAAAAACCACTGTTGTTGCGATGGCTTGTTTTTCATGGAGATTTGGCCGGGTAAACCTTATAGATTCTTGCTATGGAACCCTTCCACTAGAGAATCAATAATACTTCCCCATTTAGAATTTTCAGACGAGGAATTATATGCTTACGGATTGGGATATGACTCTACTACTGATGACTATAAAGTCGTTAAGATTGACATTAATGACCAAGTTGATGAAATTCTTGCGCTGAAAAGTGGTTCCTGGAAAAGAATTCATGAAGGGGAATGTTTGGCACTTGTACATGGAGCATTTCATTGGTACGGATATTCCGGAGGGCGAGTTGTGAATTCATTGAATATTTCGAGTGAAAAATACGAAATAATACCTTTTCCAGAAACAAGCGGGTTACAAATTTCTTCAGACGATGAGCTGGGTGTATCAGTGTTAGGAGGAATGCTTTGTGTTTATTTTAGCAACGAGATAACTTTTAATTTATGGGCAATGAAAACTTATGGCGTCAAAAAATCGTGGACCAACTTGTTCACTATACCAACTAACGGACAACATCCTACCCCGATGTATAGGTTTTCAAATGGTGAAGTGCTACTTAACGACATGAAATATTCGGGAAGAGATGTATACAGGATATCCGATGGATCATTTGGATTAAGCAATCGAATATGGCCTTTGAATTCTGATGATGATATTGATGGAGTTATGACATATATTGGTATTGTTTATACAGAAAGTTTGATTAATCCAACATTGGGTCACTAAATTGTGTGCTGACCATCTAAATACTGTAAGTATGGCTCTCTCATTACTTAGTATTACTATTACTATTTGCTTGTTTATGTAAGATCGTGGTACTTTTTTAAATATTAATTTCATTTATTGTTTGAGAATTTTTGGCTCCAAAATTGATTAATCCAAGTATGGTTCGTTTGCTTATTGATCCTCTCAGACAAGTGACCGGAGCCATGATAAATCTTGGTTTGCAGCAGGATAGTCCTTAGTTTTTTAATTTGAGAATGTACTTCTTAAGATTCTACTAGACAACAAAGAACACTAGACCAGTCTTGGTTATATCATTATTTTTTTACTGCATTCCTTAACACCAAAGTCCAGCACTTGGTTACTGTAACTGGGGTGATTTTCTTTTGCCCGATGTTCATCTCCATGTGGTAGTCAAGCTCAGCACTCAACTCAGTCTTCCCAACACTTAGCCAAAATTTAGTACCTTTGGCCTTAGATTATTTCTCGCAACGTTTCACTCCGTTTTGTTGTAAGAACAGTATAGGCAACGCTTGTAAAGTAAAGGCAACAAAATATAAAGAAAATAAGGCAACAATATAGAGGAAACTATTTTCCCAACTTTGTATTTAACTTGAGCATATAAAAAACTCAAAGTACAATGTTACAAAAGATTGCTCTTTTTAAACTTGGTACTCAAAGAGTACTACTCTTAGCCTTAATTCGTTTTCCCACTAGCCATTCCACCGCTCATCGAGCCATAAATTTCATTGTAGGGTCATTACCGGACATATGAGTCCAATTGTACAAGTTACAACTGAAGCTACCGAGCTTAAGCTGCGGTCTAACAATGGCCTCAAGTCCTCCAGACTGGCCCATCACTAAAACACATAATACACATCTCGAACCTCGTTCATAGAATCACAAACCGGCGATACACAGTTGATATCGAGCGCTCATGTGCGCATACAAATACGTGAAAGGAATTCAAAGAGTTATGTCTCAAGCTGAATCAATCCTGCATGATAAGGAAAGAAAGATGACAAGTATATATCCTAAATGCCATGTAGCCTCTCGAAGATAAGTATGGACATCATCAAAACGATCCGCAAGACTCTACTAGACACTTGCTCATGACTTGTAGAACCTATGAACCTAGAGCTCTGATACCACCTGTTACGACCCAAAATCCAACCAGTCGTGATGGCACCTAACCCAACCCGCTAGGTAAGCCAACTTTCAACTGCCCAATTCCAATAATAATTTTTTTAAAGCAATTTAAGTAAATAAAGATCTTAATCTTATACATTCCCCAAAAACTGGTAGTACAAATCATGAGCTTCTAATAATAGAATTTACAAAACTGATATGAAATAATACATCACCTGTTCGAAATGTACATGAACAGATTGTTATAAATCTAAGGTTACTATGAACAAGAGGCAGCTACAACCCGAAATGCAGGTACATCTTCAAATCCGGCAACCATCGAGCACAACAACAACAACAGCCAACATCTGCATGCAATATGCAGAAGTGTAGTATCAGTACAACCGACCCCATATACTGAGTAAGTAACAAACCTAGCCTTAGTTTGAAAGTAGTGACGAACTTTTACCAAGGTCGGGTCCACCACTAAATACCAACAACAGTTCATAATAACGTAAAGCAAATAATACAAGAAGTAACTCAGAGATAAGGTGCTCAGTAAAATCATGATTTTCGAAAATAGTTCTTCCTTCAAGTACATCAGTGAAAACCCAAATCGTTTACCGAAGTTACCAAAAATATTAATAAGTTTGAAAATAATAATTTTCTCAAAATCCTTTTAATAATGAATGAGATGTTTCATTTTTCTTTCCAGATAACCCGTGTAAAATAAATGCATCACTGTGCCCATCTGTCAACATATGTGAGAAATCATGAATGATGTGATACTGTACAACATGAGAAAAATATATCCATATGCCTGTATGTCATGTGTGCATGTCAATGCGATGCAATTCAGTGATAAAATCATATGCATACTCTCAGAGTATCATTCAACTCAATCTGCCCAGTCACTCAGTCCTCCCAGTCACTCAGTCCTCCCAGTCACTCAGTCCTCCCAATCGCTCGGCACTCGCACTCGACACTCGACACTCGCACTCAGTATGTACCTGCGCTCACTGGGGTGTGAACAGACTCCGGAGGGGTTCCTTCATCCCAAGCGCTATAATCTGCACGGACAACTCACGTGCTATAATATCAATATCTGTATCCGCACGGATAACTCACGTGCTATAATAAAGCCAATATGGCCTTCTGCGATGTGCAGCCCAATCCCATAATTATCCTTACTATCAGGCCCTCGGCCTCACTCAGTCATCAATCTCTCCGGTCTCTCTCTCTCTCTCTCATGGGCTCACAATGTCATGAAAATAGCCCAAAAATAATGATATGATTTATCAATAAATAATAACAGAGACTGAGATATGATATGTAATGACATGAATATGATTGAGTATGAATTTTCAATTTAAAACAAATAATTCACTGCAATATGACCTTTGTGGGTCCCAAAAATACTGGCACAAAGCCCCGACATACAACAACAACAACAACAACCCAGTATAATTCCACTAGTGGAGTTTTGGGAGAGTAGTGTGTATGTAGACCTTACCCCTACCCTGGGGTAGAGAGGCTGTTTCCGATAGCCCCAACATAATTTTGTTAATATGATTCTCAACTCAATTTCTTTAGCACATAAAACTATATAGAAAATGCCAAGATTATTTGACTACAAAATTCCACGGGAATAATTATGTCACAATTTCTGTGGTGCACGCCCACATACCCGTCACCTAGCATGTGCGTCACCTCCCAACAATTCACATAATACTTATATTCATGGTTCATACCCTAACCTCCAAGATTAGAAGAGTTACTTACCTCGAACAAGCCAAATTAATTTGATTCAGCCCACAAAATCCCATTATGCGCCAGAAATCCCATTATGCGCGTATCAACTTCCAAACGGCTCGAATCTAGTCACAATTAATTTGATTCAGCCCACAAAATCCCATTATGCGCCAGAAATCCCATTATGCGCGTATCAACTTCCAAACGGCTCGAATCTAGTCACAATTAATTTGATTCAGCCCACAAAATTTATAGGAAATAATTCCATATCAAAATACTAATATTTTTCACAAAATCCGAAACTACTCCCCAAAAATCACCGCGGGTCCACGTCTCGAAATCCGATGAAACTCACAAAATACGACAACCCATCCAATTTCAAGTTCAACCATACTAATTTCACTCAAAACCGACTCCGAATCGGTATTCAAAACTCAAAAATTTGTTTTTGACATTATAGAAATTTCCTTCTATTTCTCTTGAAGATTCGATAATCTTACACCAAAATGAAGATTAATTCATGAAATATAATCACAAGGGAGTCAAGAACACTTATCCCAAGTTATGTGAAAAAATTCCTCTCCAAAATTGCCCAAACCGAGCTCCAAAATCCAAAAATGGGTGAAAATGTTGAACCCTCAAACTTAAAGGATTCTGCCCAGCACTTTCGCATATGCGAACAAGAGGTCGCACCTGCGACCCTCGCTTCTGCGGAAAATAAATCGCTTCTACGAGAATAACATTGCCTAGCAACACCCGCGCCTACGGATACCAAATTCTGCTTCTGTGATGAGTTTCGCACCTGCACTTCTAAATCTCGCATCTGCGCGCACGCAGGTGCGCTACAAAATCCGTTTCAGCGGTCTTCCTCACCCTGCCTCTTTTCGCTTATGCGCCATTCCTTCGCAGATGCGGCCTCGCAGATGCGGGAAAACTCTTCGCACCTGTGAGCACTGCCCAGTTGCACTCTTGGCCACTTCTGTGACTGGTTGCGCGCACATACGGCTTCGTACCTACGATCAAAAGCTTCGCAGGTGCGACCACACTAGTAGGCAGCAGTTCCATCATTTCCTTATGTCCGAATTTGATCCGTTAACCATCCGAAACTCACCCAAGCCCCTCGGGACCCCGTCTGAACATACCAACAAGTTCCATAACATAACACAGACCTACTCGAGGCCTCAAATCATACATAACAATATCGAAACGACGAATCATACCTCAATTCGAATTCATTGAACTTTGAAACTTCAACTTCCACAACCGATGCCGAAACCTATCAAATGACGTCCGATTGACCTCAAATTTTGCACACAAGTCACATTTCACATTATGGACTTATTCCAATTTCCATATTCGGATTCCGACCCCGATATTAAAAAGCCAACCCCCCGATCAAATTTCCCAAAAAATTTAACTTTTGTCATTTCAAGCCTAATTACACTACAGACCTCCAAATAATTTTTCGGACACGCTTCTAAGTCCAAAATAACCATACGGAGCTATTGGAATCATCAAAACTCCATTCCGGGGTCGTTTACAAATAAGTCGACATCCAGTCACTATTTTTAACTTAAGCTTTAAACCTTGGAACTAAGTGTTCCAAATCCATTCCAAAACCTCACCGGACCCGAACCATTTACCCCGGCAATTCACACAACAACTGTAAAGTACAATTTGAGCAGTAAATGAGGAAATGGGGTTGTAATACTCAAAATGACCGGCCGAGTCGTTACATTCTCCCCCACTTAAACATACGTTCGTCCTTGAACGTGCCAAGAGTTGTTTCTAAGCCATCAAATCACTATTCCATCTTACCACACACGTACCCGGGGGTGAACCCACATCACCCTATTCCATATAAGCTTGACAACACAATACAACCGAAATCATTGATTTAACTTTAGCCCATAAACCTTGGAATTTAATTTCCAACCTTTAGAATTTCTTTCAAGACACGAATCTTACATTTACATACTGTATGAGTTTGAACAAATTGTATCAAGCCATAACCATAACCACGGATATAATCAACTAACATATTACACAACTCGCATGCTCGTGGCACCATTCCTGATCACAGTAACTACTCCAAAACCAATCAAGTACTAGTATTAAACCAC